GTCATGCCCAGCGATCCTTCGTCGCCTATGGCAACCAGCCACCACCCCACTTCACTGCATCCGGCAGTGTGCCAGCCTCGTCATCTACGTGTAGTGCACGTGCTGGTCCACATTGGCCATCTTTCGTGCCAGACCCGACAGGACATCGCCCGAGTCATGGAGGTAGCGCTGCACTGCCGAGGACGTCCATCTTCCGGTCCTCTTGACCACCTCTATCTCCCCAGTCGCCTGGTAGAGCGCCGATGCCCCTCCAATCCTCAAAGAATGGGATTGGAACCGCTCTGCCGGCAAGCCCAGCGCCCTCACTGCCCTCTGCAGCAGATTCTGCACCTCCAGCCGCTTGATGACCGGGCCTGATGCCCACCGGAACAAAGGCATGTGGCTTTCTGGGCCCTGTCCAAATCGTCTTGGTGCCACCTCGCGAAGTCGGTGAAGGGCGGTGACCACGCAAACGAACTCGACCTCCGTCTTCAGCATGGTTTTGCACGTCCCAAAGGCTTCTTGGTCTGCCTTCGTCTTGCGGAACTGCAAGGTCGCCTCCTGGGGGTCATTCTCATCCGGGCGACCACGGGTCGTGAGCGAAATGTCTTGGCCCCTCACGATCATTTCCTGGTCCACCCCGCTGGAGTCAGAGAATTCTCGAGCTCGAAGCATGAAGAACCATGCCGTGACCACCGCTGCATGCACCATCCGGCAGTCCACCTTGAGCTCTCCGACCGTCTCAGCTCCAGACGCCATCTGCTTGCCGAGCCACTTCAACATCTGCACAGTGACCCCTAGCCGTCTTGGCCTCTTCACCGAGTTCTTCTCCAGGGAATTGAGCACGATCCACAGCCGGTGCATCTTGACCGTAGTATCACCGTGGCCAGCGCGTTTGTGCGCATCCTTGATGGCGAAGACCGCCTGCTTCATGGTAGCCACCGATGTGCCCAGCCAGCCCAAATAACCCAGGTAACCCAGGACCTTATTCTCATTGTGGATCGGGTCACCCTTGTGGTCGAGGTAGGGCGTCAACCATCCTTGGCGTCGGCTCCAATCGCACCACTTGCCCCAGGCTGTCGCATAGGCCTTCTGCGCGCTCGCTGCCTTGTCTCCTACCAGGTGAGCCTCGAGCCACTCTTCCACCTGTGCCTGGATCTCCATGTCGGGGTTGAAGTCGGGGTTGAGGTCGATGAACTTCGCACCATTCTCCTCGACAGGCTTGAGCTCCTTCTTACGTCGACCTCCACACCTCCGTTCATCACTCCCCCCGAAGGTTCCATCGCACTCTTCAATGGCTTCCAGCCACAACTCCTCGCCCCAAAACCACACCGGATGGGTTCGATCATCACCTCGACCTCCCGCCTTCCGATCTGGTAAGGCTCGGCCGAAATCGCCTCGTCGCCATCTCCTCAGCCACTGCAGCAGGATGCTCAATGACTTGTAGTCCTCCTTGTCGACACACATCCCAGCTTTGCTCTCCCGTCCCTCCTTGGCGAGCTCCGCCGCTGTGCTGACAAGACTCAAAGCTGTCCTTCGGCCGGTGGCCTTGCACCCCTCTCGCTCAGCCTCCTTCTCGCCGACTTGACCAACCAGGGCCTTCCATTCATCTAAGCGTCTGCCCTGAAGGACCCAAATCTCCTCACCAGCCAGGCTCCTCACCTTTCCAACTGGCACCGCCTTGTCTTGCACCAGGATGCGCTGCATGCCCTTCTCGGCCCGATCAGCTAGGGGCCACCGACAGGGCCCGCTCAAGGAATAGACATTCTGTCGGTCCGCTTCCTCGGTGGTCCACGCATGAGCCACAACCACCGGCAACATGACCTCCTGGCCCACATTGGTCGCACCCTCGTACTTCTTGACCGAGACGCAGTTGCCCTCCTCAACCTTTTTCAAGTAGGATCCCATGGCGGGGGGGGTGACCGACTTAATCATCAGGAACTCCACTGCTTCCGACGTCTTTTCCATCGGGAAGACGAAGCCGGCTACCCGCCTCCTCACCATCGCCTCACCCAGCTCGGAGGTCACGAACTCCTGCAGGGTGCACGTCCACCCGACACTCATCGCCCACCGCTCCAGGCAGAGCCACTTCACCTCGGTGGGGCCCTCCAAGATGGCCACATCGAAGACCTCGCTGTCGAGGTAGGCTGTGAACTCGTTGACCCGTTTGCCCTTCGGGTCGGGCCCGATAGTGGCGGCGATCACCCTGCTCCCCTTGTTCTGCCCGCCCCCGGAAAAGTACTCGAAGTCCTTAACGAAGCGGGGGCCCGGCGTCCACTCGATCACCTCGATCTCCCTGAGCTCTGCCGGTTGCCTCAAAATAGTCCTGAAGACCCTCAGTTCCCTCAACCTCATCAGCTCAAACCGGTCCTCCTGGTCGGCCCACGACAAGAAGCATACGCCGAAGCGCTCCGTGTCTTCCAAGGCGTGATGGATGCTCTCCTTGATGTCCAGTCGCTCCCAACCTTTCCTCACCATGAGCTCCGCCGCCTCCTTCTCCTCTAAGCGGGTCAGGGCGTCGGCATCTTCATTGTGAAAGGTCCTCCACCACCCGCCTAGGATACGACATCTATGCCGTTTCTCCACTAGGTTCAGGACACGGATCAACAGCCGACCTGCTCTCACACCACTCTTCCTTCCGGTGATCCAGAAGTAAACGACCTTGTTGTCCCCGGCGTACACCACGATGCGCCCCTCCCACAAATGGCCTACCCGGCATGCGAAAGCCACGAAGCTCAGCATCTCACCCAGGTGAATCGCCAACCTGCCATCCTCTTGCCCTTCTGCCTCAAGGACTTGTCTGATCCAGGGCTTCAAGACCTCCACATCCTCCCTGCAGGCGAACCCATTGGTCCAGTCAATAGCCGCGACCACGCTGGGCGTTGCATCTGAAGATACAAAGATGGGGCCTCCTCCTTGTTGTCCAGGCAGGGCCAAGCGGTCCAACGGGGGCAGGAGCTCCCTGATATCCCCCCAAACTTCGTCGCCCATGTCTCGGACCTGGCACACAGCCACCTGCAGTCTTCAAACAGCTCCCATAGTGCCTCCCAGCTTTGTCTCTCCTCATCCTCACGGGTTTTCGATCCTTCCGGCTGGACCAGCCTTGGCCGTACCGCAGCGCCACCGTCGACCCCTCCCAGGAACACATCTGCGCTCCGGAGCTCGTTCTTGAGTCCCGTCACCACTGCACTCCAACCATTGGCGACCCCTCTGAATCTTTGCAGCTCCTTCAGCGGAAGAGTCTTCCCCCCGTAGTTGAAGCACGGCTGGGCGAGCAAGTAGGCCCCTTTGAGGATTCGGGCTTCCGGCAAAGACATCTTTTCTGTGTCTGCGTCGATGATCAGCCCCCACACGGTCTGCTGATTGCTGTAGCAGCCCTCCTCCGCGTCCTTGAGCTTGTTAATGGCCTTCTCCCCCAAGAGTCGCGTCACTGCCCACTCATACACCTCACTGGACACCCATGGTCTCAGCCCGATGACCGGTTCAACCAACACCATGTCATCGACGAGGATCTTGCCACAAAAATGCAACTCCCCGTCCCTCCTGCTCTCGACTGGACGAAGATTCCGGTGCACCTCCTCTGTGGCCCGCCCCCCATGCTGTCCATTCGCCGGGTGAACCCGAGAATCCAAAGCTTGAGACCAAATAGATGACCGTCAGGTTCCCCAGGTCTTGAAGGTCAGGCGCCTCCCCACCAGTTCCCATCAACTCCGGCTTCCACGGGACATCTCCTGCGAACAGCTCGGCGTCCCTCGGGTCAACCCAAAGTAGTCGGAATGCTCCAGCCACGTCCTTCTTCGCTAGCACGACTTTGACCCCTGGGTACCTGGCCTTCAGCCACAGGATCCGCCTAGCGATCTGCTCATGAGTCGGTTGAGCTGCGGGAGGATGAAGGTCCTTGTGGGTTCCCCCGTTGACCTGTCGCTGGTCGTGAACCAGCCGGGCCTCTGTGGACAGCGACCGATTCGGAAGCATCTTGGGAACCAACTCAAAGGGCGACGACACTGTATGCTTCAAAGCAGGGTGGTTCGCAGACGCTACCAAGACCCTGTGCTTGGCGATGTTTTTTTTATTAGTTGGATGTACACCTGGCCCATGTCCGCTCTGGCCCTCGGGTGGGGGCGAGTAGCCACCCTTTCTCGCTGCCCTTGGTACCGAGCCGGCATCCCTTGAGCACGAACTTCCCGAAGATAGGCAAGGTGGTCAGGGTGCAAAAGCCCGTCGAGCTCCTCACTATCTGCCCCTTGCAAGTTGTTGCGGCCCAGGTGCTCCCGAGCCACCCACAGCGCGATGGCCGCCTTCTCGACCGTGCCCGTGAGGTCCAAAAGCATGTCACCTCGCTCCCGAATCGACTGCCATGCTCGAGCCTCATTTCCCTGGATCTTGTCGACCTCCTAGATGTAGCTCATCGCCGCTGTCGCTGCCTTGCCAGAGATGCCAGCCTGCTCGAAGTCGGCCCAGCTGCTGCCTCCAGCCCTGGTGCCCCTCCATGACCATGAACTCCATCCTTGCCACTGTCCCCGGTCGTTCAACCCTTGCCAGTCGGTGGAGTTCCAAGAGTTCCCGTCCCACTGCGAACCACCTTGTCCTCCTCCCGGGTGACCTCCGCCTCCGCCAGCGTCAGGACCCCCTGACTCATCAACGGGAACCTCAACCCAGGGCACTTGACCATCTTCGAATACAAACAGAGTTGCCCCCGTCCATGGTGCAAAGGGAGGTTGGCCGCGCCCTTGGACTCTCCAATCATCGTACACCTCGGCCACCTGCAGACGACCCCACTGGTCCCTCGTCTCACATCGGGTGTACCTTTCACTGTGGAACCGATGGGGCCAGTACGGGTAGGGCAGCTCCTCTGGCAACACCAAGTCATTCCTTGCCTCGTTGGTGTGAACCCATACGTAGCCCCTCTCCGCGTCGACCTCCATACGATTGCGCTGGCCAAGGTTCTGCCACACAATCCGAGTCCTGGGCTCGCTGTCCGTCTCCGCCCCCCGGGTTCCGTAGTGTTCTCCCACTCCTGACCCTCGACGTCCTCGAACTCTTCCCCATCCGGTTCATCACGGTGAGGATTGTTGACCTCGACACCATTCCACACACCCAGCGCCTCGTCGACCGCCATACCCGCAACCTGCTGCAGCTCCTGCTCGTTTAGGCGCCCAAGATCATCGACCTCGTTCTGGCCTTCTTCTGGTTCAATCTGGCCACCCTCCGGCTCCGCAGGCTCCTCCTCGTAGACGAAGTCTCGCCCATTCCAGCCATACGGGTGCCTTCCCCCGGTTTTCGACAGCATAGGTTGTGGTTTGGACCCCCCCCCACCAAGGTGTGAACCAAAGTCTCCACCACAGTGCGTACGAAGGCGTCCGCATAAACTCCAGCTTCCGTGCAGCGAGACACATTGACCCCAGGTCGATTGCCTTTGAGTGCGATATGCTGATGGCTATCTGAGACTCCAGGGCACAGGCGTAGCAGAGCTTGGCGCAAAGGTGGATGATGCGGGAAGGCCAGTCCAGTCCTGTGGCGGTAGAAATGGTCCGGCATGTCCGGGGGCCCTAGCCCAAAGGCGCACATGTCGATCTCAATGAAGTCGACGTCCGGTCGTTGCAAAAGCCGGCGCCATTGGGGTAGATGCCATTGCTTCGGGTATCGCCCCGAAGTGCCCGAGCTCTCGGCCACGGGGAAGCCACCTTGCAGGAGCGATGCTTCAAACACCTTCGCTCCATACTCCGACAAAGCATTGCCAACTTGTTCCTTGGCGGTGGGTTTTCCCGCCGGGTTCTGGAAGGTGCGAGTGCCTCCATTCTGCAGACACCAGTCGCAAAACGTGGTGCACGGGCTGGCTATCCACTGCACGTTAGAGTCACGAGCTCGGAGCCGGTTGAGGTAGTACTCTTGCCGTACAGGATCGGACAAGTCATGCTCCGGGCGGGGCCCAAGCTGTTGATGTGGTTGCTCGTAGAGCTCGATGGGATGTAGAGCCGTCTGGTTCGCAGCTCGCCAACCCTTGGTGATGACTCCATGGCCGGCAAAGTACTCCTGCAACACTAAGCCCTTGTGACCTCCAGCTTCGTGTACAGCCTCCCGCAAAGACCTGTGAGAGGGCGGGGAGGCATGTAGTCTTCCTCAGGCACCCCGTAGTCTCGGTGTCCTCGGCACTCCCTCCCTTCCTGCTTCGACAATGTCGGCAAGAGATCATCCCGGGAGCCGTTTTGGCTTGATCGCGCCGCTGATGCCAGAAATACCGAAACCCAAGACATGGGGTGTTGTACACCTCTTCCTTCTCCAAGAGTGCTCTTCCTTCTTCTAGCGAAGGGGGCTGGAGCAAAGTCATGTGTCCTTTTGAAATCATCGCCCAAACATCCGAGGTCGACCACTGGCTTCCCGTCACCGTCTCAATCAGCAGGTCGCCTTTGTAGTCCACTCGCACCACAACCACACGTATTTCCTCCATCGCCGCCAAGGGAAACACGGCCAAAGCTCGATAGTCCTTGTCGTGGTGGGGCTTCAAGATGTCATGGGCATACATCCTCAGCTCGTGCTCGACTGGGGCGACCTTAGTCTCTGGATGTCCCATCACGCCCTCGGCCTCCACTGCCAGCCTCGCTTGCTCCAGCCGGAACTCCTGCGTAGCTCTTTCGACCTCGTCCATTGCGGGGACCTTCCCATGTTGTGCCAGATGAAGTCCGGCCGCCAGCACCTTCGTGACGCACTGCCTCTTCTCCTTCTCTGGCTCGATTACTCCCAGCAGACCCGCCAGCTCCTCAGTCATATGGACCATCTCTCCGAAGTCCCACAGAGCCCACGGGGCGCCATCGATGTGAGCCAAGGATCTGCCTGGGCCCTCACCTTCCCATCGTGTGTCTTCCAGCTGACATCGAGCTTGGTGGCCTGCCTTCAGACCCTGCCCATAGGCCTCCAGTAAAGCTGCCGCCTCTGCGGCCAGTTCCCCAAGGCCGTACTGGACCATCTCCTCCATGAGCGCGTCGAAGGCGATCTCCGGGTCGTTGGCCACCCTTGTCGACGCCCAAGCATATAGATCATCTGACGCCCCTTGGAGTTTTCCCAGGACTGGGCCCGATGCTAGAGCTTGAGCCTTTCTCACCATATCCTGCGCCTCCGAGGGGGCAGTGGAGCCCTTCCGGCCCGCATGGGGTTTGGCATCCCTTGGCACGTGCTCAAACAATGATGCATCGGGGCCCGCCACCAAGTCTGCAAAGTCCTTCTCTTGTTGGGTGTAGTCCACCTGTACCATCTCTTCCGGAGCTTCCCAATGGACTTGGCCGCCTGCTTTCTCCGGACCTTCGGCATCCCCTTCTTTGGCTGGGTCTCCCTGTCCGGCCCGTCGACGATCTTTGCCATCCTGCACCTTGGCGGCTTTGTCCTTTGCCACCCCGGCTCGAATCTCCTTGATCTTCTCCGCGGCCGACTCCTTCGTCTCCGCCTTCATCCTCCTCAGGCCTCCTCTCCGAAGCATCTGGAGCTGCACCGCCGGATCGAGAGCCTCAAAGGGTCCGCGAAGTGGTTCATGAGCTCGTTGACAGCCCTGCTGAGAGCAGCCCAGGTGGGTCAAGTATCCCCAACACAGCAGCTTGCCCTCCTTATTCGTCGGTGCTCGATCCTTGGCCCGGGTCGTCTCCTCCGCCGTCAGCTTCGGCCCAAACAGGGTTTTCAAGGTCGGCTTCTCCTCCCGGGAACCTCCGTCTCCACCAGCAGGTTGTCCTTGGGCTCTACTCTTCCCTGAACCCTCCCAGGTCATCTTCCAGAGCATCCTCTCCTGGCGCCTCTCAATGCGGGGCATCACCTCTGACATGAACCATCCGTCAGGACGTCGTAGATCGAACGTTTGGGGAAGATTCAAAGGAGGTCGCCCTTCTTCGTCTGGCATGAGGGCATAGAACTTCAAATCCTGCAAGGTCATGGACTCTCTCCCGGACAACCGCTTGATTTTCCTCAGCTCCTCCTTCAACTCCTCGAGGAATCGCCAGTGGAGCTCTTCCCACACATCGAGCAGGACCTGCAGCGGCCACTTGTGCGGTGCACTGACGTGCCACTCTCCCAACAGGTTGATGGCACGCTCCCGCACGGCCTTCCACTCCATGCCGTACACGAGGGCCCAGATGTCATTTTGTCGCTTCACTCTGTTGAGCCAGTCCTCATAACGAGTGGGTGCGGTTGGCCTCTGCTCATTTGTCGGCTTGCCTGTTCTACTCTCGATGGCGAACTGGTCCAGCTCCGCGTCGGTGCAGGGCACAAAATCTGAAGCACTTAGGGCATACTTCTCCTGCGTTCCCCAGTATGGGCCGGCAATCCCGATGGCGAGCCGAGAAAGTAACCTTCTGTCTGAAGCCTGCACTCCGAAGCTTTGTTGAGGAGCCAGCCTGAGCCGCGAGCAGCGCTTGCGCTAAGGGGGCCCCGTACTCTTCATTGCCGACTTGCACGGTATACTGGCCGCACCCACGCAGCAAAAATACCAGTTCTTCTGAGGTCTTGCCGAGGCTCTTCAATGATCCTCCTGCCCCTGTCGTGGTTTCCTGCTGGGCTTTGACCAACGTTGCAAGCTCATTCGTTTGCTGTTGGATCGCTTTGGCGATGTCGGTCATCTCCGACTGACCTCCTCGCTCCTCCGGCCCAGTCCCTGCCTTGCGGTCTGGATCGTAGATCCCGGGAGGGGGAACCGAAGCCAGTCTCTCGGAGGGGTTTCAGCTGGGCCTGAGCTCACTACCGACTGGGCCCCCGAGGTCATACTCGACGGTGTAGGTGCTGCTCCGTCCCGCTCCTTCTCGACCACACTCCATTCCGAGAGGGACGAAGGTCGCTCTCGAGCAGCCGCTTGCTGGCGCCATTTCGCCAGGAACTTCGTGAGCCCTTTGGTGCCCTTCCGTTGCTCCTCCATGGCCTGCTCATACAGGTATCGGGTGAGGTCTCCCACAGCCAAACCAGCTTGAGCCGCCAGTTGCTTCCTTATATCTTCCTCACTGAGCTGTAACTCCCTCCCATAGGCCATCTGTTCCATGAACTCCTCCAAGTAGGTCATGTCCGCCCTGCGATCCGGCGAGTTGATCATTCCCATCCTGGCCAGGCTGTGCTGCACCGATGACTTGGGAGTATGGCCGGGAGATGCGACCCTCCTTCTCCTGAGAGCTGGAGGCTCCTCCTCCTTCTCCTCACGAACTTCACGGAGGATGTTCTCTGCCTCCTCGGTCTGATAGGCGACCTCCCGAACTCGCCCCCTGCGCCTCGTGCGTTCATCACCTTCTCCTTCGGCGCGTTCATCACCATCTTCTTCTCCCGGATGTGGGTCCCGAGCCCTTGACCTCGACCGCGAGGAGCGTCTGGTCGGAGTAGGAGCAGGTTCCTGGTGAACACCACATAGTCGCATGCCTTGCTTGGTGACCGCCCCCAACCGTTGGCAACCTGCCCAGGAGCACTTCGCCGTTGCCCTCGAGGTCAGGTACCGGACCGCATGACCTGAGCAGAACGCGGCCACCTGGTCCGTCGGAAGTTGACTCCGGTCCTCATCAAGCAGCTCGACATCCGTGGTTGCGAGGTCTTTGCATGGATGCTCACTGAGGCAAACTCGACCTGCTTCGCCCTCCCATTTGACCAAGTGGGCGCAGCACGAGCCGGTCTCCTCCCGCTCAGACTCCGATGCATAGTCCTTCAGCCGCTTGGCTGTCTTGTTGGCCTTGGAGAAAAGCCATCCCATCGTCCTCGTCCCTGTCTTCTGGGCCCCAGCCGCTGTAGAGATGAGATGGAAGCGCTGTGGGTTGAGTTGGCGGGCCAAGGCGTAGCTCTTGAAATGCTGGCCCTCTTCCGGGCACGTGTCGTGCCTGCACAGATGCACCCGCTCGTAGCCCTTCAAGGCCAGCAACAATTGGGCGTCACCTCTAGTTGCCTCAGGGTCAAAACTCAGGTACATGCCACTCGACTTAATCGCGGCATTCTCGGTGACCTTAATGATGACCACATAACCATCCCGCTTGAGGAGGACCCACCGATCTTCGTTCGCGCCCTTCTTCATCTTGCGGAGGTCGGCCGTCTCGGGGATCTCGCCAGTGTCCGGTCCGATGAAGGTCGCTCCTGTCACCTCAGGGACTATCCGCCAGCTGGGCTTTTACTACATGTGGTCTACTTTGAAGCTGCTTTCCCATGGTCGGAGCACCTTTTGCCAGTTGAATCTGATAATAGCAAGGACGCATGTCAAGAATGCGCTAGCAACTTTGATTGGGCCACTCGAACTAGCTCGCCCTGTCGACTTGTATGGCTTCAATATGTACGAAATGACCAGCCGCTTGCAACAGATTATGAGCGCTTCCTTAATAAAGACACTTTCCATTCAAGTGGACAAACATGGCAGTGTATTGCCCTGATCATTCATCAAGGTCCTGACCCATTAAATGGGGAGCAGCAACTGTGTGAGCATTTCTATTTGTTGGAGCATGAAACCACTAACTCTGCCATTCTGAAATATGACAACTCTAATGGCTTGTGCCAGGTGTGCATGTCACAACTCAAAGCAGGAGATCGGGTTTGTGGCATTCTATACCGTGTTGCTACTATTTCGAGCACATGGTGCCACACTCGACCCCTCAGAAAGGCTCCCATTCCAGTACAAGGCAAACTCACCAAGCTTGCTAAGAACAAATTTGGGCAACGTGAAGCACGCACCCCCAAAAGAAGGCTTACCACCAAAAGAGCCCTTGACGTTGGTGCCCGGAAAGATATTGTTGGCCCAGCTCCTCTCAATTCAAGCGAGCTTCAAGCTGCTTACATTCCAGAGAAACTTTGTCCGCCGCCCCCTAATGATGCTACTATTCCAGCTGAACAACTTGTAGCAATTGAAGCATCCTTATCGCAATCTTCGCAAGCTGAAAGTGCCTCCACGCCTGACTCTCCCATCGACCACCCTATGCAAAGCACAGATTCTAAGCCACCATATGCTGTCCTGAGCATGTTCGATGGGTGTGGCTCGTCCTTAGACATTCTTATTGAGAAGTTTGGCTATCGCCCCAAAGTTTGTTTGTTATGTGAAAGAGATGAAACGCTCAGATATTTGGTTGCTGAAAAGCATGGAATCTCCGTAAATGCTCAGTGGATACACAGTCTCAAAGGAGGAATGTTTTTCTATGCAAATGACGTTGATCTCATCTTTGATGACAAAGCAAGAATCTTACGAGAGTTGGTCACCCTTAGTGATTATTGTCACGTCTTTGTCATTGGAGGCAGTCCCTGTACAGATCTCACATATGCAGGTCAAGAACATGGTCGATTAGGTATCTGTGGTCCTGACAGTGTCTTCTTTTTCACAATGCACCTAGCTCTCTACCTTTTGGGTACAGTCCTTCCAAAAACACATATCCGTTTTCTCATTGAAAACGCAGGCTCCATGCACTATGACCATTTTAGTTTCATTAGAGCCTGCCTTGGTCTCTCGCATATCACTAGAGACAAGATGACATGGTGCACTTCTAAAATCTCGCCTGCAAAGCGCTTACGGCTATTCTTTCAAAACAATCTCCTCCATGATACAATTGATTCACAAGCTTTGTGTCATGATGATCTCCGCTGGCCTGATGATTGGAAACCACTTGCAATACATGACAAAGGGAAGTTCCGTGATGTTTTCATCAAACCCTTGAGGCCCCTTGAGGTCCTAAGTGATGTCGCCCTCCGTTATAGTTGGACCAGTTACCACCCGGCAGCCCTGCTATGGAGAATTTCATATTGGCATACACACGAGCGTTTTGCAGTCTTAGCCAATATGTTTACGGACAGCTCTGTGCCTGCCTTTCAATGGAGTGACTTTATCCCTGCTATTTACTACCCAGCATGGAGACGCTTCCTTAGCTGCTTCTATAGCAAAACCTCTTCCAATCCAGAAAAAGATGCAGCACTCCGAGATGTCCTTCCGCTCTTCCACAACAGCAGCATACAAGTTCCCTTTCGGTTTCTAACTGACAGTGAAGTTTTGCAAGTTTCAGGCCTTAGCCGCAACTTTGCAAATATTTCACGCCTCAAACATACGTTACATTCGCAAACCATACGCTCCTTTGTCGGTAACTCCTTTCATCCTAAGCTAATCAGTCTTGCCATTGGCACATCAGAGCATATTCGCGCATGGATTCAAGGAAAAACAGAATGCTTCTGTGGAGTAGCCTCACCTGATGAAGTCAGGAAGGGTTACATTACTTTCAAACAAGCCATTGAAGACAATCTCAAACTGAAAGGCAGAAACGCCCAAGTCACAATTGTTCATGAACCTTATCGACATATCAACTACCGACAACTCGTAATGGCGCCTGCCAACAAACCCTCTGTTGCACAACCCATAGTAGCACAGAAACTACCGCATTACCTTACAAAGGAGGCAGTTGATAACATCAACAAGGACAGAAGAGAAAAACGACTTGATATCTTAGGCAAAGAGCCCTTGATACAGCCCTTAACAGATATTAACCTTTTCGACTGTGCCGAGCAAGCAGCAGTGCCGCAATGGATCTTTGTTGACGAAGAAATTGTGCAGGCCTTATGCTCTCTCTCTGCACACACTGCTACCCTCAGCACTTACCGGCAAGAACTGCTACATCATCGTTCTTACCATAGAATTATCCTGTTCCTTCGACGGCTTTTAAGCACAATCAAAACTGCTGATACGGGCTTTATCATTTGTTGGCTGGTCCATCAACCGGTCCACATAAGGTATCTTGGACCCAGTCGAGCCAAACACCTGTATCTGCTGCGGTTGCAGGATACACTCGAGATCCTCCTCTTCAAGCACGGAGGAGAGTCCCTACGCATTCGACAACCCTTACAGTCATCTTCCTGGTATCGATCTATGTTTGGCTTCCAAACTGACCTACAAGGTGTTGGAACTGAGCATCTCTGTGCCTTTGCTCTGCAACAAGAGCGCATCTGCACGATTACTGAAAGACCATGGACCGCGGTCAGGATGGTCCCGATCACCAAGGAGCAGAGCGGCCAGGCTAACGATAGGAAGTAGTGGAGCCCAACGCAAACCACCATCAGCAGCGCGATCCTCAGGATCATTGAGCACCCAGTCCGCACGCTGGCCCAGCTCTGGCCAAATACCAACCAGCCCACGCCCGACAACAACGTGTCCAGGAGCGTCCAGGCTAGGCTGGGACATGTCCCAGGTCGTCAGGGTGGAGTACTGCGCCTGGGCAGCAGCCACCGTGGCATTCACCTGCCGTTGGAGGCAGCTGACTGGGTGATCCCAGCAAGAGGCGTTGGGAGGGTTTGTCGCCTCCTCCTCAACCGCCTGCCACCAGCCATCGATGGGGCCCGTGGACCAAAGAAGGCCCATCGCGAAAAGGCCCCATCGAGCCATGGCGCGAGCCGCCCCCGAACACAAAAAAGGGG